ATATTGTGTATATGTGCAGGTGAATATACCTAGTATGTTCAAAACAAATATTCCGGTAATATACATGAATGTATATCTACGGTATATTCCAAATTCCAAAAGGGCATGCATGTAAGAGTAAATCTTCTTACTACTAAAACCTGAGACCCTTATGAAAAACTGAAAATATGCTGTTTTGATTATCAAATTAACAAAATTTGTCGAAAATAAATTTTGCGTGCCCGCAGCAGCAGGTAAGGGCACGTACAAGTAAATTATTTTTTACTTCTAACTTGAGTAAGCCACCGTTATTTAATTTTTTTCCTTATTGAGAAAGAAATAAATTAGTATATTACAGCTTACTTATTACAGCCCTAGTACCATTTTATTTATGTTTAGACTTAAATTCAAAAATAGTACGAGCTCTCAAATTATTTGCATTGTTTCTTCTTATCCTAGTTATTTATTTGGAAAAAAATTATGGTTCTGAAAAGAACCGATTTGTGTTTGATTAAGTATGTTCCTACTTAATACTGTTTTGGGTTTAGATGCTTTTGGTTTTTTTCGTTGAGCCGGGTACATTTGATTCCTTGGGTTGTTCTATGATTACAACCATCGACAAGAGACCATTTTGTCTGCTGTTTTAGATTTTTCCACTCGATTGAATTTTTCCAGAAATATTTTCAGCTGCGTTCAGGTTCCCGAGTGGAGTCTTACCACTGAAATTGTGGATTGGATGGCCAGGGGCAGTCTGGATAAAACTGTTAATTGAGAGCACGTGGAAACGTGGAAAAGGTTGTAATGCATTATGTGGCAGAACATGGCATAACCTGCTCCGGACAATGTTTATATGAACTTTTCTTTATAAATGCGTTTTTCTTTCGTTACATATATGTATGTATATTCCCTGAACATACCATATACATTCACTGAACATATCATGTACATTCCCAGAAAATACACATGTATATTCACTGAACATACCATGTACATTCCCAGAACATACACATGTACATTTCCAGAAAAAACAGTCAGTCAGTCACAACCTGTGACTCACATTAAAGAAAATATCGGAGACGGCTGTTACTGCTGTTCCCGACATTTTCTGTTCATTGAATATTGCTATTTGCCGAATCATGGTGCACGTCCCACTCCCATACATACAAAACCTTACCACTTCACGAGAATAAAATATCTCCTTTCACTAAAACTCAGGCCAATTGACAACGCCGCGGGGAATCAAAAGGCATAAAGGCAGTTATTTGCCTTTTTGCTTTGTTGAAATATCGAAATCCCAGATGTTGACTGTTACTGAGCAGCATCGTAGGCCAGCCCTGTTATTTCAAATCACATGTTATTTTAAATATCGGTCACAGGTACCCACTGTTCCATATCGATATCTGTTCCAAAATACCTGTGAAGTATTTCGTGTCATCCCTAATAGTGAGTAGTACACAGACTACAGACTATAGTAGTCTGTGCTCCGTGATACCATCACCGATTCTATCTAATTTAGGAACTTTAAAATATTTTTTTCTATATATTTTCTCAAAGAATGGAAAAATATTGTGAGACATTGTTTGTCTGTTTGTTTTCAATTTGATAACTTTTTATAGACACTTTTTTTTATTGTTGTATAAATGATAGGCCAAGATCAACAGCCTATTAAGGCACAAGATGCTCATTAAACAATAAATAGTATCAAATTCAATTATTTTGACTGATCCTAGCCTCAAACAATCCACAAAACCCGAATCGCTTGCAAACACAATAAATTAACCATCTATAAAGCCGACCATTTAATATCGAAAAAATTGTAATTTGTAAATGTGAACAATCCCCGAGAATTCAGAGGTCTATTAAAATTCAGTGTAAATTTAGTTTTTTCACGTTTATTTGGCTTTTTAATTTTTAGAAGAGGAAGGATATGAAGTGTGATTTTGCTTTTTCTGCGTTTTCCAGTCCTTATCTACAGTATGGTTGATGAAGGTTGAGATGAAGTTGAGTCATTCATACTGGATTAATATTGAATAATAATAGTCGTTATAATCAATTCAGTCGTATAGTTGCAAAATTTCGTAACAAAACACTAGTTTACGAAAAATAATGAAATGTTTATGAAATATGTATCACTGTAGTTTTAATATAAACAACAATCTCAAAAGCACGTTTCTTCTCATAGATGAAGACAGAGAAGAGAAGTGAGAACTTAATAGAATAGAACAGAAGTTTGCTTTGCTTAACGTAACCTAAAACTAACTTGCGCATGTCATTTAAACAAGGAGTCACGTTCGCCAAAATGAGCTAGTCACGAGCTATCTCTGTCATCATAAATAGTGATGCGCGGGACGGAACTGGCGCGACTCAGCTAGCTAACAAACCGGATCTTTAAAAGACCCGGCGAGTTCAAATCTCGAAATTTTCCAACCGGATCTTTTGGATGTTTGATGATCTCACAAGCAAGCCTGTTCGCGTGTCTCGATCACACATTTGGATGCAGCTCTACTGAACAGCGTCTCACTGAAAAACAACCATATTCTGGAAAAGTTCATGTCTCCACTGGATGGAGATTTTTAATAATGCGCGAAAATGTTGAAGTAACATTACAGAATCGATCGAGTTTACAACTCGATGGAAAGTACGTTGTTATCAATCGTATACATGTCGTTATTGACATAGCATGTCATAACTTATTTTCATTTTCATCTGTTGGAAAAATCCGCGATTAAAGCGACCAAAGTTATTGGGGGTGATTTATGGCTTAATTTCTTCTACATTTGGGTAAAAGTGATATTCTATAGCAGCATGTACGTCGTTGTACGGTCGATCAGTTTGAGCAACACTCGTTGGCAGTTAACAAAATGTAAGTCGGTACATTTAGCAGAATCTGTGTACGTGCTTAGGTTAGGTAGACCGAACAGCCTAGCACATTTTATTATATAATTATTAATAGATTAATTCTGTTTGTAATTCGACTTTTGAAGGTTGCGGTGGTGTTTTTATCAGTAATCCTTTCACCTGCAACGTAAATTGCCACTTGACCAGACCGAACCCACTGGAGTCCAGGCGACTTTACTCATTAACGACTAAACACTCGAATGTGCTCAGTTTTTATGAAAAGACACTAAACAACGTTCTTTTGAGCCATGATAGGTATATATGATTCAGCAAGTTAGAGGAACACAGGAGCAAATTTTGTTCCATTTTAATTTCAGGTATTTCCATTTGTCCTCTTTAATTTGCGAGAAGGAGCCTCTTAAACCGTCATCAAAACTGGAGGTAACGGTCCAAGAACTTAGAAAACAGAAAGAAAAGGAGGCCAAAGACCAAGACGTTCAAATAGCAAAATCGACTGTTAAAAAATCAATTAAACAGAAAATAGTAGACGAAATACTGCACTATTATCATGGCTTCAGACTGCTTGGAATAGACGTCAAAATATCTGCTGGTCTTGTGTGGAGAATTCTTCGGGGTAAAACTTTAACTCGAAGAGAATATCGATTGCTCACTCGTACTGTTGGTGACCTATTCAGACTACTTCCATTTTCCGTTTTCATAATCGTACCATTTATGGAATTGTTGTTGCCAGTTTTTATCAAACTTTTTCCCGGTATGTTACCAAGCACGTTCCAGACCACTTCAGAAAAGGAAGATAAAATCAAACAAAGCTTGAAGGTTAAGTTAGAAATGGCAAAATTTTTACAGGTAGCCAGCTACTTCAGCTTTTCCCCTGGAAAGTACAGCTCATGCTTTAAACCTGTGTTGTAGGGTACCCTCGATGATATGTCTGTTCGACACGTAGACCGATATTCTGAGAATGCCAAAGAATTTGTAGAGTGGTTTAACAAAGTTCGTACCTCAGGCGAAGTGGTATCCAATGAGGACATAATGAAATTTTCAAAACTTTTTGAAGACGAAATCACGTTAGACTCGTTGACCAGAAGCCAATTGATTGCTTTGTGCAGAGTATTGGACGTTCAGACACTGGGCACAAACAATTTTTTAAGGTATTACAAAAAATTATACATACAAAAGAGGTTGAACAATTTTAGTTCCTTAGATTGGCTTTTGTACTTTTCCTCAAGTGGCATCAATTTATTGATAGTAAACTATGGTATTTAAAGATTTCAGCTGAGAATGAAATTACGGCAATTGGCGGCAGACGATAAAATGATTCAAAAGGAGGGCGTTCACTCGCTAACTCTGGCAGAAACTCAACAAGCCTGCAGAGCTAGGGGCATGCGAGCATATGGGGTATCTGAAGAGCGACTGCGGTCACAATTAAACCAATGGCTGGACTTAAGCTTGAACGAAAAGGTGCCTCCATCGCTGTTATTATTGTCCAGGGCTCTGATGTTACCAGAAACTATTCCGACCAGCGATAAATTGAAAGCAACGATCTCATCTTTGCCTGAAACGATCGTGAAGCAAACTCAGGCCGCTATAGGTGAGAAAGAGGGCAAAATCGACAACAGAATCAGATTGGAACTGTTAAAGGAAGAGGAGAAAAAAGTCGAGGAGGAGCGAAAAGAGCACAGGTATGGGATATGATATCAGATTTTTAAACATTTTTTGAAGACTGACATAACATCAAATAATAAGTTCATTCACTGCTTGCTTGGTTATAGAGAGGAGCAACGAAAACTGGAAGAAAAAGAGTTATTGGTTGATAAAGCCCCTATTATATCGTCATCGACAACTCCGATTTTAGAAGATACTGCTTTAAGGATATCAAGTGAAAAGTTGGAGCAGGTGGAAAAGGAAAGGATGCATATTTCCTTCAAGTATGTTATGTTAAGTTCTTTTAATTTACACAGGAGAAGGAGAAAGAAGAAGATTTCCACACGAAAGATATTCAAATTATCGAGTTTGCTATCGACACAGTATCGAAAGAGAAGAAACTAATCGTTGAAAAAGAGGAAATTCAGGACTTGAAAGCTGAAATGGCTGATTACAAGGAAGACGTAGATGATCTCGCCAAAGCAGTGGCCGATAAGCCGAAACCCGAAGTGCAAGAAACCAAAGCAGCAAAGAGATTATTCAAGAGTGTGAACAAAATGATTGGTAAAATGGATAAGGTAATGGAATGTTACATGTAAAAATTACATTCGGAAATATCTGTCTGTACAACGCGTGGCTGTTTCAAAATGAAATCGAAAAAAAATAACATATTTGCCATAGGTATTAGTGGGATTGGAGAAGAAAGAGGCCCAGTTGAAGAAAGATTTAGAAACTGAGATAAGCGACAAGAAAAAGGATGAGCTGCTTAAGATTGACGACATCATAGCGGCTATACAGAAAATCAAAGATGTACCCGATCAGAATCGACTCGAAAAGATTGTGAAAGTGCTGCGGAAAATGGACGATGATCATGACGGTTCTCTAAAAATTGACGATGTGCTAAAAGTAAGCAAAAATATATTCATTCTAACGAAATAAGTTAACAATTTGGTTGCTAGGTTTTCGAAATCATTGGTAAAGAAAATGTGAAGCTGAACAGTAAACAGGTGGATGAGCTGATCGAGTTGATTGACAAAGAGGAAATTCTAGAAGTAGAAGACAAAATTGAGAAAGCGCTTCAGAAAGATAAGGAGACCAAAGAGGCGCAGCGGATTTTATCGCGCTCCGATATCGACAAACGGACCTCCGAAGGGTCCGTAGAGGAATCTAGCTCTGAAAAGGTAAATTTAGAATATACATTCTTAAATAAAGGTAAGACTATGGTGACCAAATGAAATATGTCCTAAGGAAGAAATAGAAGCTAAGAGCACAAATAATGTGGAGGGAAAAAGTGCGAACGCAGCCAAATCAACTCATAAACCCCAATTATTGGATTCCCAGGACATACTTTCTTCTGGCATTGAAGAAAAGCAGCCTACGAATAGCTCTAAACGGGTTTAAATGAAAAGGCGTAACCACTCCACCAACTTATTAAAGCCATTGTTGTAACCAAACTATGCTGGTTCCGCTGTTATTCATTTTAGTATTGTCAACAGCACTAATTTATTTTCTATGGTCTGGAAGGTGTAAATATCATTGTTCAGTGGGACGAGCGGTGAATTATTTGCTGTACCTGAGTCATAAACATTGTTGTTTTTGTATATTTACTTGATTAAAAAACGCATTTTAAAACACTTGAGAATTGTGTTATTTTACTATGGCATAATTTTTAGGCTCAGTAAATGATGATGCATAAAGCGATTGATATTGTAATAGTTTTACCGACTAAAAGCGAGATTTAGCCATTGGCGCAAGAGAACGCTCTAGCAAAAGAGAGCAGCTGCCCAGTCATCATGCGCGATGATTGAATACAAGTTCTGAAAACATACTTAACATGTTTTTTTATTCAAACCTATATTCTTACTCATATACATAGTACAAAAAAATTATATCCCTAGCGAGGATAAAAAGGAAAACACTTTTTGTACAAAACCTATAACCTAAACTGTACAATATAACTTGTAAGCAAATAAATTACTGTTAGAAACAATATACATATTTATATGCAAAGTTAACGTACAACTATTACAGAAAAGGTTTCAAGCATTGACGCTACGCAATGGCATATGGAACATCTTAAAATAACGTAAATCGTTGTGTTTAACAAAACAAATCGAGATCACTTTTAAAGGTATCAGCCAGTATAAAATCCTGATCGATCCTTGTTAACATATCTTCATAACACATAATATGAAGACATGGAATCATTAGTGGGTTGGCACTTACTTCGTCACAAATTGCGTCACTCTGATTTAGCAGTGAGATTTTAAGACCAGGGCGACACGCCTGCAAGTTAAACTCTTTTGGTTTTGAACAGGCACAGTATCAACAGTCCTTAAAAGTAACACTAGTGTGGCTTAGCAATTCCACATTAGAGCCAATTTGTATATACTTTCCTGACTGTGTTTCAGTTATTTATTGTCTTTATTTATCAATTAAAATACGTTTCGGTGTATTTTTCCACCATCATCAGTTTTTAT